AGGGAAGAGGTTCTTTGCCCAAGGGACACTGCTTAAAATAGGGAAAAAAGAAAGCAAGCTTAGACAAGGCCAGTATAATCCCTAAAAGAGCCAGAATGTGGTCTCTTCAATTGTTTACTGTATCTTAGTACCTTTTCTACACAGAACATTATTAATAGGGTGAAATTAGAGACAAGGAGTTTGCAAAAAGTTATTTTTACAGCCAAGCCTTCCAGTGTGCTGCAGCTCCCCTGGGTACAAATCTACAAAGAGAAACAAGACTGACATGATGGTATGGGGGATTAGACACATACACGTTCAAACAACACTTTCCAACACGGAACTTGGCAACAGCCAGCATCGGCCTGAGGTTATCTTCCTGTTCTCAGGATATGGACTCTTTTACTGTTTGCAATGAGGCCACAGTGTGCAGGTGGGACTCAGGGTAGGCATTAGGACCACATTCTGTGTGCACTTCAGGATGGAAATAATTAATTGGGTTTCTTTTCTGACTTTATTCCACTCCAAAGTTTGTTAGGCTACATCAGACTGCTGCACTGCTGCCTGCAACAGGCCAGCCTCTCAGTCGTGATACAGTCGCCAGGCACTCCCCGACTGGCGAGCACAGAATGTTTCACCTTGGCCTCTTCTTTGGTTCTCCTCTCTGGCACACGATCCCCCTCCCCGCCTCAGGATGATGGGGTAGCAGAACATATTTGGAAAAGAAATGATCCATCACTAGGCAACGATGCGCCAAAGACTTTTTTCAGGTTTTATTAAGCTCCGCAGACTGCAGAGATGCTGGCTCCAGCAACAAGTACAAGGGCCACTGGTGCTCATAAGCGGGGTCATGGGATTTGCATACATCTTCCTGCTGCCCTTGGCACTAGCTAGAGACAGCAGAGGTCAGGATTTTGGGCTGGGTGACATCAGGTCCCTACACACCCAAGATGTCATGCTCTTGCACGCTTCTCCACCACCCATCTCCCTGGGTTCCAAGGCCTGTCTGACCCTTCCTGGACTCTGTCATGTATGGGGCAATTTATAGGCAACAAGGTGTGCACATGTATATGTGTATGTGTGCCTGTGAGTGTACCTGTGTAAGCATGCATACAAGTGTATGTATATGCACGTATCTTATGTGCGTGCGAGCGCACATGTGCATCTATGAACGTGTGCACACATGTGTATGTGTATGCCTGTGCGTGTACATCGGGGAGCCAAGCTGTGGGGAGCCATTTCACCAGCACAGCTCTGCTCCCTGGAGGGCGCAGGGGGGAGGCAGGGGGAGACCTCTGGTTGGGGGGCAGCGGCCCCCACCCCGGTGCTGCAGGTAATTGGGGGAGGGGCGGTGGGTTTTGGCAAGGACGCTGTAGGGGTGGCCCCGCCCCTTGCGCATGCGCAGAAATGGACGGGCGCCCCAGGCCCCGAGGGCGCCGGCCCAAGCGGTCTCCGCCCCCCCAGTGGCACAGGGCCCGCGGCGGGGAGGGGCTACGCTCCGGCCCTGTCAGACACCCGTAGGGGCCGTGGCCGAGGGACGGAGTCGGTCTCACCTGCGCCGCCTCCTCCCGGGCCCCAGGCCCAGCCTCGCTCCCGTTGTTAAGGAGAGAAACGTGCTTGTCCTAGCAACCGGCTCCGGAAGTCCCGCCTCCCTCCTGCCGTCCGTGTTTCCCCGCCTCCCATTAGTTGGAGTCGAGCAGGCCCCGAGTGCGGTATTGGTTCCTCCGGGTGTCGGTCCCGCGGTCGGGCCCTTCGGCTCCGCCTCGGGCCTGGGGCTCCCGTAGGTGTCCGGCCCGCGCCTGTCCCCCGCGCCGCCCCAAGGGC